CAGTGCTTATCCTACAGCACCACACCAGAACTCTTATGCAACAATTGGATCTCAATTAAACCCTTTCATTTTAGTTAACTTTTTCTGACACCACTTTTGCAGGGGACTAGGGGAGTCCTGGAGGTCTGGTAGCGTAGTGGGTACGAATCGGGCTGCGAACCACAAGATCAGCAGTTTGAAACTACCAGCTGTTCCATGATAGAAAGATGAGGCTTTCTGCTCTCGTAAAGATTTACAGCCTCAGAAACCCTGTACAGGGTCGCTATGAGTCGGAACCGGCTCCACGGCACATAACAACAACAACAACAGGGCAGTCCTGGTGTGGCACTGTGGGTTAATACGCTGGACTGCAGAGTTGATTTTAACCACAATGTTGGTTCAAGGTCACCAGTCATTCCTCAGAAACCCTATACAGGGTTGCTATGGGTCATAACAGACTCGATGGCACTTAACAACAACAACAACAAAGAGGAGTCCTAGTATGGTACTGCAGGATAATGTGCTGGACTGCAAGGTCAGTTTGAACTGCAAGGTCAAGTTCATATACCTACTAGTCACTCCTAGGAAACCATACACAGGGTTTCTATGTGTTAGAACTGACTCAACAGCACTTCACAACAACAATAACAACAGGGGAGTACAGCCTCATTTCTGCTAAATGGAAGTAAAAGCCCAGGTTCCTTACTTGGCCTGTATTGTATTTGGGGGGCTGGAGGATGAGAGTTCTGGCTTTCCACATCTCCATTGACATCATGATGGATATGGTTTTGTTACCATGGTTATTGTTGTTGCTAAGTGCCGTTGAGTTGGTACTGACTCATGTTGTTGTTGTTGTCAGGTGCCATCGAGTCGGAACCTACTCATAGCGACCCCATGCACAGCAGAACGAAACAATGCCTGATCCTGGGCCAACCTCACTACCGCTGCCACACTTGATGCCATCAATGATGCCACCTGGCTCATAGAGACCCTGTATAGGGTTTCTGAGAGCAGCTGGTGAGCTTGAACCGCTGACCATGTAGTTTAAAGTAACCTTGCTGTCCAGTTCATTAACTCACAGTGCCATACCAGGACAGTTAGAGTGTTGTTGTTGTTATGTGCCATGGAGTTGGTTCTGACTCATAGCGAACCTGTACAGGGTTTCCGAGGCTATAAATCTTTATGGGAGCAGAAAGCCTCATCTTTCTCCTGTGAAACAGCTGGCGCAGAACAGCTGGTAGTTCCGAAATGCTGACCTTACAGTTTGCAGCCTGATTCGTAACCACTACGCTACCAGAGTGCCTTACAGTTAGATTGGGCAGTGTGAAATCTTGACTCTTCGTTATGCTTCCTCTAACACTACCCAATGGAAGGGAATCTCATGACTGCTGGGTGGTGGGGATAGAAGTCTAAGTTCCCCACATGGTCTCCGCTGGCACTGCAGAGGTGGACCTTCATTTCCAACTAGTGGAGATGAGAGTTCTTGGTTGAGTTTTTCTGACATCATCCTAAGGTAGGTGATTAGGTACCTTATTACAGCCTTGTGAGGGTGGAAATCTAGGCTTCCCCGTCAGCCTTTACTAGCTTGGGTTGGAGTAGGGCCACAGTTTTTTTCTGTGGCGTTTGGAGTTTTGGCCACTGCCTAAGAAATGTTCTTTTGCCAGTCCTTTTTCTGGTTCTTTGACTACAGAGATCAGGCGTTTAGTTTTTGGTCTTATCCCCCTTGACATTTCCAAGTTGTTAGCTTCTTCAGCTGCAAGTACATGATTTATGAGGTAAAGGAAAAAATCCAGGGGAACTCACTACTGTGCCATACTTAAGGTAGTGAGATCCTTAACCTAGTGTACTTTCTCTCCATCTTTAAAAGTCTTTTTATATTTGTTTTATATATTATGCCCAGGATTTTTAGTTTTACTTAGGGGAAGGAATAAGAAAAGTGTACTCCATCATCCTAGAAGCAGAAGTCAGTATGTGACATTTAATAAAGAAAAAAAAAAAGTGGATGGCTTTTCCAATCAGATAATGAAATAAAATGTATTCTGAAGTTGCTTAAGGAATTCTGTTAGCATAGTGGTTACGAATCAGGGCTGCTAGCCTCAAGGTTGGCAGTTCGAAACTACCAGCTGTTCCGCGGGAGAAAGATGAGGCTTTCTGCTCCCGTAAAGATTTACAGCCTTGGAAACCCTGTACAGGGTCGCTATGAGTCAGAACTGATTGCATGGTACTTAACAACAACAACATAAAGTTGCTTAATCATAAGTGTTCAGTTCTGGAATATGAATGGGAAAATGTATTCATGTAGAATGAAAATCTAGAAGGAAGTTAAAGAATATATAGAAATTTAAGAATTAATAAAGGAAAAACTTCAGGTTATTGAGTAAAGGATGGTATTGGAATAATTAAGAAGAATTTTAGAAGAAAAGTCACTTGAGTCTTACCGCTATATATAAAAAAAATTCTAGATGGATTAAAGATCTAAATGTAAAAAACAAAAATAAGAAAATAATAGAAGTTACTGGGAGGTGGGAGAGCCTTCCTAACAGGATAGAAAATCCTGGAGCGACAATGGGCTTCAGAAAGTTCATGAAAAAATGTAATTATAAGACAATGACTTTTTCCCACTAACTTTTGGAAGCACCCTTATAGTTAGGAAAACATTTATAAATTTGCCAATAATAATGTTATATGGCTAAAGGCAAATATACACACTGCCAGAGAGTTGGTTCCAACTCATAGTGACTGTATATAGAGTTTCCAAGACTGTGAATCTTTATGGGAGCAGACAGGCCTCATCTTTCTCCCAAGAAGTTGCTGGTGGGTTTGAATCACGAGACTTGTGATTAGGAGTCCAATGAGTATCCTACAGTGCTTATCCACGTTTTGACTATGGTGAATAGTGCTACAATGAACATTGGTGTACAAGTTCTGAGTCTCTGCTTTCAAGTTTTGCATATATACCTAGGTAGTTCTGGATTGTATAAAACCATTGTACTGGTCTACGATAGCTCTTTAGGAGTAAAAATGGTAAAAACCAGTGTGAATGTCACTGTGAGTCAAGTCCAATAGATTTAGGACCTGGATTAGAAGATTCAAAGAAAGTAGTCAAGTAGAAATGGACAGGTGAATTGTTTGATCACACTGAATTCATTTAAATATTCTTTTATTTATGTTAGAAACTCCGACAGCTCCAGAGTAGCTTGTTTGCTACTGAAAATGTTCAGATTACCTTTGTTCCCATCTGTATTCTAGTCTTCTCTTTAATTAATTTGACAAATAATATATTATGCCTAATCCTGTTGTGGTGCTGTGGGTTAATGCGCTGGGTCATTAGGAGTCTTGGTGTGGCACCATAGGATAAGCACTCGACCACAAAGTCAGTTTGAACCACAAGGTTGGCGGTTCAAACTCACCAGCCACTCCTCAGAAATACTATACAGGGTCGCTGTGAGTAGAAACTAACTCGATGACACTTAACAACAGCAATTATGCACATGGAGTCCTGATGTAGAATAAGCACTGGACTGAAAGATTGGTTTGAACTACAAGATTCGTGGTTCAAACCCACTGGCCGCGCCTGGAAATCTTATACAGGGTTGCTATGAGTTGGAACTGACTCAAGGGTATATAACCACCACCACCACCATCATGTACATCAAAGGAGCCCTGGTAGTATAGTGAGTTTCACATTGGGCTGATAACCACAGGTCATCAATTTGAATCCACCAGCTGCTCCATGGAAGAAAGATGAGACTTTCTGCTTCTGTCAAGATTTACAGCCTTGGAAACTCTCTACTGCATTGCTATGAGTTGGAACTGACTTGATGGCATACAGCAGCAACAGAATTTTACACATAAAAACAATACCTTAGGCTCTTTATTTGGGAGCCTAAGCAGCCATGTCTGTAAAAAATACATCTTTTACTCTTTATGGGTTCATGAAATTCTTTACACTGAGTTAGCATTGATTCAATGACACATAACAGCAAGAATTTGGTAATTCTATTTTTAGGTTTTTGAGGAGCTACCACACTGTTTTCCACAATGTATATACCATTTTGCATTCCTACCAGCAGTGGAAAAGGGTTTTACATTATAGAGATGACTATATATATATAATGTAAAAGAAAAAATTATAAGACAAGATGTTTTTGTTGTTTTTAGTGCCATTAAGTCGGTTCCGACCCATAGTGACCCTGTATAGGGTTTCCGAGGAGCAGCTGGTGAACTTGAACTGCTGACCTTGCAGTTCAAATGGCTTTGAAGTCTGGCGCATTAACCCACAGCACCACACCAGGACTCCAGACAAGATGTACTCACCTATTAATAATGGTTACCTCTCAGGAATGAGACTGAATTGGAAAAGGGGAGGAATATGGAGATAGAATAGGGAGGCATGAGGAGTGAGTTTGCTTTACTTTATACAGTTCTTGTAAGTATTGGGATTTTTACTTTTGAATTTTTATTTTCCAAATACATAAAAGAAGCTGATATAAATATTTGTATGGATGAAATGTAAAAAGCATTTATATATATGTGTGTGTGTAAGTGTTTGGATGGCACTTAACAAAAAACAACAAATGTGATTTAAATTAATATATATCACAAATAAAAACTCTTAAGGAGCTTTGGTAGTATGGTGGGTTACTCTTTGGGCTGTTAACTGCAAGGTCAGCAGTTCCAAGTCCACCAGGCATTCCATGGGAGAAAGATGAGGCTTTCTGCTCCCATAAAGATTTACAGCCAGTCAGCCAGCCAGTAAAAGCTTTTAATAGTTAAAGTTACAAAATGTAATACTTCCTCTTCCAAACTCTATGTAGTGGGAGAAACTGAAGTAGGGGAATATCTTTATTAATATAAGAATTCCAAAAGAAATCTGAATATGAGCACTTGGGTTTTTTAGCAAACAACTTAGATTTTACCTGTAGCTTGAACCTTTCTTCTAGCCAGCCTGATGTTGCAGTAATAAGCAAGTACTTTTTTTTTTTTTTTTTAATGTGTATTTTCTGTTTTCTCTGACAGAAATGACATCAGATGTATCACCATTGGGACCAGCCATTGCCTCTGGAAACTCTGGACCTGGGATTCAAGGAGGAGCCATTGTCCAGAGAGCTATTAAGCGGCGACCAGGGTGCGCTTGTGTGTAGAGTATGAAGATTGTCTCTCCTATGAACCAACCTGATATAGTTAACTTCTGTGCCCACTTGGCTATTATTTACTCTCTTACTTCAACTGGTTACTTAACAACACTGTCGTCATGTAACTATGTCTAGTCCTTAGATGTGACCTTCTATAAAATTGATGTTTTTAATCTAAGTTTCTCATAAGGATTTTTTGTTTTTAAACCAAAGAACTCTGCAAGGTAAAGGACTTTGACCAAACGCAGAGATTTTACTTTTGCTAAGGAAACGATTGCCGCCTTCATTAAGCTTTGTGTCTGCATTCTCAAAACCATTTTGGTAGGCTTCTTTTCTGAATTTATAGACTACTGAATGCTAGAGTATTTCTCCTTCATGTTACTGCTGTGTTGCTTGGTTTTGAATTGTACCAAAAGTATTTAATACCTCCTTAGCCTAAAACATTGTGCTGCTTGCTAGGAGGATGCTGTAACAAATTAACACAAGCTGGGAGGCTTAAAACAGCAGAAATTTATTCTCTCACAGTTCTGGAAGCTAGCTGTCCAAAAATCAAAGTGTCAGCAGTGTTCATTTCTGTTGAGAGCTGTGAGGGAGAATTTGTTCCATGCCATTCTCTGGAATGGCAATCCTTGGCATTCCAGTCTAATCTCTGCTTTGGTCTTTAGGTGGTGGTCTCCCTATTTGTCTCTGTTTTTCTTTTCCTCTTTTTAGAAGGACGTTAGTCATATTGGATTGGAACTCACACTACTCCAGTATGACTTCATGTTGACTAATTACATCTACAGAGACAATATTTCCAAATAAGGTCCCATTCATAGGTACCGGGGCTTAAGATTTGAACACATTTTTTGTAGGGGAACACAAATCAGCCCATAAAAGATATAAATAAGATACGCCTGTCTAAGTTGCTTATGTTCTGACTGGGATCATTATTATACACATAAATATACTCATATGCCACATAGTATCAATTGGGCAAAGTCCAGCTGTATGTATGTTTGTAGTGGATTTTATCAGACGTAGCGAATGCAACAGCTGAGAGTCAGTGGACTGAAATCATGTTCCTTTTAAATGTTCTTTGAGTTTGGGAAACAAAAATAAGTCTGAAGAAGGGGTAGGATCAGAGTTATAGGTTGGATGGGGTAAGGTTTCCCAAGGAAATTCTCAAAGAACTATACTTGCTGTCATCAAAGAATGAGCAAGTATGTTGTTGGATGGAAAAAAATTCATTGTACAACTTTCTTAGACAAATTCTCACAAAGGTAGTTTTAAGTTTTCTAAAACTTCTTCATAGTAAGTTGCTGTGTTCATCCTATGTCCTTTAAGAAAAATCTTATCAAGATTACCCCTTGCTGTTGCTATTGTTAAGTGCCATCTAGTCAGTTTTGACTCAGCAGTCCTATTTAGGGTTTCCGAGGAGTGGTTGGTGGATTTGAACCATCAACCTTGTAGTTAGCAGTCAGTGCTTATCTATAGCGAATCCCAGAAAATAGTCACTGTAACCTTCTGAGCTGACCTGGTTGCCTTGGATTAAACTGACCCAGTGGATCCCCTTGAGAGCAACTGCACATTGCTTTTAGGATCACATTTATATGACTTATTTCCAGTTATGATCTGCTCCATAAACTTCTTCATTAGCTTCAGTCTTGCTTAAAAGGCTGATTAGGCAGCCTTTTGATCTAGCTGATTTTCACAAAATACTTTCGAATACTCATTGAGCCGGAAGCTTGATGAGGCCAAGATATTTGCTTAAAATGAAAAAATGTAGAATCATGTGAGATCCCAATTTCAGTAGCTGTCACATCAGAGGTAATTCTATGGCCTTCTTCCACCATTTTTTGGACTTAATCCACAGTCTTCATTTGCTGAAGTTGATGGTTTTCCCTCTCTTGACTCACCTTTGAGGTCTTACCTGATCTTCCTTAAAACACTTGATTCATCTGAAATTTTGTTTCATATGAAACAGCATTCCTGTAAATCTGTTGCAAAGCTTCAGTGATTTGGGAAGATGTCCACTTGATTTTTGTTTAAAATTTGTAATTACCTTTGTTCTCAAAATAATTTTTACTATGGTACAAAAAGTGTTCTTACTTTTTGAAAGTACCCCAACATGTGTATTACTGAGAAAGCCTGTCAACAACCACTCACTGATCATAGATTTAAACAAGTTTTGTTTGGAATAAACCAGAGCATGTATGAACTGTAATCCTAGTAGCAATACTTTATGACTTACCCTTGTATAATTATGTAATTTGTATAGCTTGGTCTTTTCACCTAATCACATATAATATTGTAAAATTTTTTCATATTATTTTATAAACATAATTTTTAATGATTGCATACTATAGTCCATGGAGTAATTTTTATTTTGGAACATTTTGAAGATTTTGCTTTTACAAGTGTACATTGCTTAATGTCCATGATACTATCTGTAAAATAGAACATATTTTTGTGATTTAGATGTATGAGCACCATATTATATGAAGGGGCTTCAAAAAGTTTGGGAAATTCCATTATCTTTTCGTTTAATCCATGAACTTTGTGAAGCTCCCTCATATATAGTACATTGTCGTTGTTGTTAAGTGCCATTGAGCTGGCTCTGACCCATAGCAACCCTTTATAGGATTTCCGAGGAGCAGATGTGGGTTTGAACTGCCAACCTTGCAGTTCAAACTGACCTTATGGTCCAGTACATTATCCTGCAGTGCCACACCAGGTTTGTATATATTCACCATGTTTCCTGGTGGTCTGTTAGCACCTTGAACTTCAGGGTGTGCAAACTTGCATCTGCAATTGACTGTCTCTGGGCACATAGTGCCCCTTGAGCAGCCCTTAGGGAATCAGAGGCTCAAAGGATGGATTGGAGTGGTGATGACCAGGTTTCTCTCCCTGTGGGGACTGACTTAGGGGCGGATGGTTTGAGATATGCACTAGTGGCAAGCAAAGAGCCATGATATCATCATTGACCACTATTAATAGCTTAGGTGCTATAAGTGACTCCATGGCTAACAGTGTGCCTGCACCGTGGTATAAGGACTATGTCACAAATTCATCACTGTCCTGCCTCATCGTGCTCTTCCAAGCAAAGTCCTCCTTCCCACCCCATAGATGTAAATTCACTTGGAAGTGAGGCACATACTTCTATATGTATTTCTATAATGAACACCATTGTACATAATTTTCTTTCTCTATTTAGAGTTATTTTTTTTAAGATAGATCCTTAGAAATGGAGTTATTGGGTAGTAGATGGGTAGGATTTTGACAGGTGTTAATGGATTGCAGGAAGAAGAAAGATGGATAAATAAAGAGTTAATGCTTTGTATTTCATATGCAGCTCATCCAGCCAAAATATCAGATTGTTCCACTAGTTGAAAGCCAAGTGTGATCCCTGGGGTAAGGTGGTAACATGGATTAATGTTTTGGTGTAATAAAGTAGAACGATTATAAGGTAGTTTGCCAATCTGGTTGCCTATAATTGTCTTTGATTTCCCCAAATGAAATTCTCTGCTCCTTTTGCTAAATGTTAATTGTACTCCTCATGGTACTTTTCTATTCTCACGTGTTTTATATTTGTAATTGTCTAGGCAAAGAGTCCCTTGAGGGACGGTTTCCTGTGTTCACCTCATCTAGCACAGTGTCTTGAATATAGTTATGTTACATGTTTGTTAGATGAATGAAAGAAAGAAGCATTATTCAATAACCTTCCTGTTGTTGTTGTTGTTGTTACGTGCCATCAAGTTGATTCCAACTCGATTCCGACTCATAGCGAGCAACCCTGTATAGGGTTTCCGAGGAGTGACTGGTGAGTTTGAATCGCTACCTTGCTGTTCAAACCTGCTTTGAGGTCAGTGGTCTTAAGCTACTGTTACATATTATATTGCTATTTTGAAAGATATTTCAGAAAGCAGGTAACATGGCTTAGAGTGGATTATAGAAATTAAAAGATGCCATCTGAATTATTCATGCTATTTTTTTTCTTATCCTTTTTGAGTGGATTTCTGCTCCTTTTGAAGAGGTTGTACTCTTCTGATTCAAAACCTAGGCAAAATTGAATGACTACCTTAGGAAAGTGATATGGTGACAGTAGGCACACTTTTTCTGTTGTCCAACTTTTTTGTTCCAATTTGGGACTATGCAGAATCAACCCAGAAGTAACATAATTTTGTTTGACTTCCTCTTTTAGATTTGGGTGGGTGTGTAAGTAGCTTGTGGATTGAGAAATTTTAACTTCTTAATGTTTTATAAATAGGCTTACTGTACTTGTTCACTTTTTTTCCAGGCTAGATTTTGATGATGATGGAGAAGGGAACAATAAATTCTTGAGGTAAGATTTTTAAATACTTTCTTTAGATTTCTGATATTAAAAAAATAATGTATAAATTTAAAATTTTTAGCTTGTAATATCTTTGTTTCTTAAGCCTAAGGAAAGTATTTTACCTTAAAACTATAATATTTTATACTATGTTATATCCCAGAAAACTTAAGTTTCTGTCAGTAGTCCCAGAGGAAGAACCTCAACAAAGAGGTCGGGGGAGGACAGAGAATTTATCAGACCTTTGTGTAAAAGATGTAACTGGGAAGATTAGTTTTCTTTTGCTGAGTAGCAATAGTGGCTTACCAACAACAGGTTTTCCTTTTTTACATTCTGTGGAATGGCAGGATTATCCTGTAGATTTTGCCTAGACTCAATTTATAGGAATGTTTAATTAGCAGTAGACTGGGAACTGAGCTCAGCTGGGATGGCTGTGTGTCGTTATACAAGGTCTTTTATCCTTAAGGAAGTCAGACTGAGTGTCTTCACATGGTGATGGCTGTAATTCAAAGGGCATGCTCCAGTGTTCAAGTGCTTACCAAGCCTCTGCTTTTGTATCACATTTTTTGACATCCAAAGCAATTCATATTTGACTTGGGATGTTGGGGTTAGGCAGGAGGTCTATGTGCTATACAAGGTAGTATTTACTGTGAGATATACTTTGTTGAGGGTCATTAATGTACAAATCTATCATATCCTCTGATACTTGTTGATTCATATAAAACAGGAATTTGTAGTTTGCATCCTTGACTATTGAATCTTTTAGGTCATAACAAATGGACTTTAAAATATATTGATGAAGGGATTCTCTCTAAGAACGGGAATAGTCTCACTGAAGACCAACTACTTATTTTCAAGTGAGAAAAGCAGTTAAGAGTCAAAAGTAAGATAACCTTGATTACAACCTTTTCTTCTTTCCAAAGTTGAAAATATTGCCCAGGTAGTCTTTACACTGAAGAGTAAGATATATGAGTTGTTGTTGTTGTTGTTGTTGTTATGTGCCGTGGAGTCAGTTCTGACTCATAGCGACCCTGTACAGGGTTTCCGAGGCTGTAAATCTTTACGGGAGCAGAAAGCCTCATCCTTCTCCCTCGGAACAGCAGGTAGTTTCGAACTGCTGACCTTAAGGTTCACAGCCTGATTCATAACCACTGAGAGTTTCATAAAGTTCGTGCAAAAATGGAATTAAAAGATAGTGAAATTTTTCCATAAATGTTTTGAAGTTCCCCCTGTTTGTTTTGTAATTAACGTAAAATACGCCTTTTAGAAGTAATTATGTCAGTGCCTACATTACATTTATTAGGTTTTATTAACTTTTAAAAACTGTAATATATTTGCATTGCAAAATGCTTAAACAGTACAAAGTTATGTGCAGTGAAAGAGCATCTTTGTTTCACTTCAGACCTTCAGAACCTTCCCCCTTAGTTTCCAATTCATTGACTATGCTTGCAGAAATACTCATTGTATATACAAGTGAATATAGATACAGATAAATGCAGATGTGTGTGCATATATGCACACTCATAACCTTCCCAGTTTTTTCTTTTACACAAAGGATACTCATATGGTAAATTGCTTGCTTGCCATTGTTTGGTTTTATAATGCTTAATATAGTCAGTCATACCATTTTCTGTCTTTTTTCTGTAGTAATGTTTGAAGGTAGGCTTGTCTTTGTAGCTATTGATTAGTTGCTGAATCCTGCCAGATAGTCTTAAAAATAACCATAAGTTTGCCACCGTGAAGAAGTAGTTTTAAATAAAAATAATTCTTCAAGAGGGCATCCATAAAACATTTTTAAAAAAAAAAAAAAAGGGCATCCAACAATTTACCTTATTTAGTCTAAAAAATATGATGAAGGAGAGAGATTTCTGGAGAAGGATAGACTTTTTTTCAGAAGCTTTCTCCTGGGAACTCCTCCAACTGAGAATTTCTATTTACAATGATCTATAAGCCATCTGGAGTCCTGGTGTGCTGCTGTGGGTTAATGCGCCAGACTGCAAAGCTGTTTGAACTGCAAAGTTGGTGGTTCAAGCACACCAGCTGCTCCATGGGAGAAAGATAAGGCCTTCTAGTCTGGCTAAGGTTTATAGCCCCTGAAACTCCATACAGAGTTGCTGTGAGTTGGAACCAACACCACCAGCAACCGCTCATCTGTCAGTTTTATAATACTGTGGTGATGGCTTGTTGGAAGAAAGATGAGACAGTTTGCTCCCATAAAGATTTACAGTCTTGGGAACCCTATATCGGGTTGCTATGAGTCAGAATTAACTCAATGGCAGTGTGCTTGGTTTGGGTGGTGGTTTTTTCTGTTCTGTCACTTGTGTTTTGAATACCAGCAGGGTCACCCATGGTGGACAGGTTTTAGCAGAGTTGCCCTAAAGTAAGACAGATTAGAAAGAAAGGCCTGCCAATCTACTTCCAAAAATTAGCCAATGAAAACCCTATGTTCACAACAGAATATTATCCAACATAGTGTTGGAAGATGAGCTCCCTAGCAGTGGACTCAAGTATACCAACTATAATGCATTGAAATTTGCCTCCTCTTCAAATAACCAAAAATCCAAACCACTGCCATCAAATTGATTGTGACTCACTAGTATAGAGTATAACTGTTCCATAGGGTTTCCAAGGCTGATGACACTTAACAATAAAGATCTTCATAGCAACAGACTTTCTCCCTCAGAGAGGCTAGTGGATTTAAACAACCAACCTTATCAGATAGCAGTGGATATAGGTTAGGGTCCAAGATTTTGTATTTCTAGTGGCTTCCTAATGAACCCTGGTAGTAGTATAGTGGGTTACGAGTTGGGCTGCAGCATGCAAGGTCAGCAGTTTGAATCTGGCAACTGCTCTGCGGGAAAAATATGTCTTTCTGTTCCCATAAAGATTTACAGCCTCAGAAACCATATACAGGGTCGCAATGAGTTGGAACTGACCCCACGGCACACAACCACTACTACCAATGATTCCTAGATGGTACTGCATTTTTTGGTTTACAGACCATATCTTGTTTAGCAAAGATCTTGAACCTTCATTCTTGAAATTTTAAGTCTTATCTTTTCTACCTTAGGTTATTTGTTCCATTAAGAGTTTATAATATTTGATTTATAGTATATTTTGTATCTTAGAAACATACCGTTTGTTCTTGAGCTGAAATCCTATCACCTCTCTTTATTTGTTTATTAGTCTACTTTAGCTCTTTATTTTCAGAAACCTTGAAAATTCCTGGCATCAAATAATTCAGGAGCAATATAAAGTAGCTCTAATTTAATAACTGATTTATCTCTGAAAATTTTGTGAGACTTACCTATCTCCCAAAAACACTTTCTACCCAAAGTTGGCAGCATATGTGCTGTATCCTGTGGCAATAAAAAGAGGAAATTTTAGATCATTCAGAGACAATATAGTATTTTTGGACTTAGGTCTTCTTACTCATATCTTCCTTTTATAAGTTTCTGTGGTAGCAAACAGGAATTAACTGACTATTAGTAGAAATTGTTTAGAATAAATTGTATTTCCTTAATCAAAGAGATAAAGTGCATTTTTTAACTCATATTTAAAACTATCCCTAACCTCAGAGTGACTGACAGGACAATCAGTATGTTTTCATGAGGTCATCATCTTCTTTTCCTTTACTGATTAAGAAAGGTATCAGAAAACCTGACAAATAGTCATGCGTTTTTAAAGTTTTGTGGGATGCTGTTATTATCTCTACTGCTTTATAATGCTTTTTCCATTGGCTTTTTAAATTTTTCTGTTGGATGTTTTTTCCCTTTCTGGTTTTCTATTCAGAAGGAAATAGATACAATAAGAGTAATGCTTTAAATGAATTATTTTTTTCTTTTCTTTCAGATGTGATGATGATCAGATGTCTAATGATAAGGAGCGGTTTGCCAGGTAATGTAGTAGAGCATTGTGGTCCATGTGGGACCAGGCAGTTTGAGCATACTAAATATTAATTTTATCTAGACAAGAATAAATTTCTCTGTCTAGTCCCCTTCCTGTTCTAAAAGCTGATGTAACTTAATCTTGAGCTGTCGTTTATGCCAAGGTAGTATGATTTCACACTAATGGTATTTATTTGTTGTTGTTAAGTGCCGTCGAGTAGGTTCCGACCCATAGCGACCCTGTACAGGATTTCCGAGGGTGTAAATCTTTGTGGGAGCAGAAAGCCTCATCTTTCTCCCGCGGAGCGGCTGGTAGTTTCGAACCGCTGACCTTAAGGTTCGCAGCCCGATTCGTAACCATGAGGGCTAGTAAAAAAAAGCATTGCTATTTACATAGGTTTATTCCAAACAAAACCTGTTTAAACATACCTCTGTGATAAGTGGATGGCTGCAGATAGGTTCTCTTAATAATACATTGGTCTTAGTCTCTTTAGAGTGCCTTCAGAAACAAGGTCCAGTCAAAAATGGTGGCTTCTACATTGACAATCACTGAAGCAGAAGACCGAAAAATAAAGAGTAGTTTTAAAACTAATTTGAAACAGTAGGATGCTATCACAGGCATTGAATTAGAGGAATAATATGTAAAATAATTTGTAGAGCTATTTTTTGTTAGCAGTATATATAGGATTGATTGAAGAAAAGAACTATACTCAGGAAGGTTGAAATAATGAGACATAAAATCAGGAGGGACTAGGCTAGAATGGTATCAATGACAATAGGAAAGAGTGAATTAAAGAGATTTTTAAAGAATTTATCAAAGCTAATTGTAGTAGATATTTGTAGTCTTTATAGTGAACCAATTTTAAAATTAGATTTTTATGGATATTTGAGGAGTATATTTTCAAGTTGCATTAGGAAGTCATGCCATTAAATAGCAGTATAGGTACAGGTTCCTAGTCTCTTGATTGAAATCCCAAATATCTGTGAAAATATAACTTGCTATTTTGCCTTCATTTATCTGATTAATGTGGAAATTTATGCATTTCAGAAATAATAAAGTGGATAAAGAGTTGTAGATTTATAGTAATAGGAATTTTAGTATTTTACTTTCTTTCAAACAACAGAGCTCATTTTTTTATTTAATGTATTTGTTAAGCTACTTCGTCTCATATATCTTTGAAAATTCAATAGTTAGGCTTTGGAAACTGAAAGCATATGAATTTTTCAACTTTGTGAAAGAATGATTTATAATTTGCTGAGGAATTATCAAAAAAAAACCCCAATGAAATATTGTTTACTTAGTTCTCTTTCTCTTTTTGTCGGAATATATACATGCGTTTTTACATAGTTCTCATTGTTCATTGTTAGTGTGTTCTTTTGTGTATTTTATTGCTGATCATTTAATAGAAACCTTTACATATGTTATGTACTTTGTCATTTTTAATAGCTAACTAGTCTTTCAACCTGCTGCTGTCATAGTTTGATATTTTATTTGAGGCAATATGAGGGTAAGTCAAAAATTATTGCTACTAACGTTGTAGTTCACACATGCATGTATTTATTCCAAACAAAATGTGTTTAAACATTTCTCTGTGATCAGTGGATGACTGCAAATAAGTTCTCTCAGTAACACATTTGTCTTAGTCTCATAGAGTGCCTTCAAAAATAAGGTCCAATCAGAATAGTGGTTTTCAGGGGGAACTATTGGGTTAAATTAAAGGCAGACAGATCAGTTCAGAAAGTTATGGCAATTGGTTTTTGAGATCACAAAAGGGTAATCTTGATAGATATTTTGGAATTACACAGGATAATCATGAGGGTTTATAATGAAGATGTTTTAACAAAATTAAAAACTGCATTGTTTAGACAAAAGCTAGGAAAGTTGTGCTGATAATTTTTTCTTATCACGACAGCGCAGTTGCACATTCTCAAGAGTAACAAGAGCTGACATAATGAGAATTCTGTTGGAAACCTTACCCTATCCACCCTGCATCCCTGATACTGCCCCTTTAGACCTCCTTATGTTCCCCAAACTCAGAGAACAATGAAAAAAAAACATGATTTGAGTCCTTTGATGCCAATACTGCTGTTTTGACATTGTGTAAACTGAAGAACGCAGAATTCTTTCAGGAAGGATTAGAGAGATGGAGAGTGCTTCAGAAGTGTATAGGCCTAGATGGAGGGCATGTCAAGAAACAATAGCTTCATACTTTTAAGATTTTTGTTTTGTTAAGTTTTCTATGATTTTATAGCAGTACTTTTTTACTTACATATTAATATATATATATATATATATATATATATATACACACACACACACACACACACACACACATATATATATATATATATATATATATACACATACACACATGTATGGTTACACATACACAGGTGTATGCCATTTAATGTTCACAGAGCATTCTGTGAAACAGAGCTTTATGTGATTTTGTGCAAACATTGTGCAAACACCATATTTGGTGTTTTGGGAGCCCTTTTCTAGTTTGTTGCCACTATTACTACTTCTGTTCTTGCTGGAACTGCTGATAGGCCAGAGGAATGGGTGGCAGCGGAGAGGGTAGGGACAGGAGTAGAAGCAGAGAGAGAGGAAGCAAGCAAGCAGAGTGTGCCCAGCCACATACCCACTGTTCCCACCTGCCCAAGTACCAGGAGCAGCCTGCACTGAAGCATCTACTACTGCTGCCATCAACTACCCACCAGACAAAGCCTAAGAGCCCATACTCAGAGCCAGGTCCTTTGCCTCATCTATCTGTATCCCACCTGTGGTCCAGTGCTGCAAGAATCTGGGTTTGGTGTCTTTAAAATCATTAGGGGGAAATCATAAACAAGTGAAGAGCTGCTTTCCTTTTAAAAAAGACACAAAACAAAAGAACCGTATGTATGGTGTCATGTATGAATCTGCAGTTGGATACTGATTGTTGACACATTAACCCAATAACACCTTTAAATTTCTTCAGTTGCTACCCATCCTTACGATTGCTCAGTGTTCCAGAAACTTAATGGCAACCCTTTGCATGCCTCTCCAGGAGAGAAGGAGTTGTTACTGAGGACCCAGTAGTTATTGCAGAGAAATGGGAGAGTGACTAAATCCAAGAATAAGGGCTATTTCAAGAATAAATAAGTGACAGAGAATATTTAAAAACCTAGGTTTGTTTTGTTTTTTAAATCTTTTTGGTCAGAATATACACAGAAGATCATATATCCATTCAACAGTTTCTACATGTACAGTTCAATGACATTGGTTGCATTTTATATTGGTCACTATTCTCACGATCTTTCCCATCTTGTTTCATCCCCATTGACTTATACTCGCTGCTTCATAAATTGCTCAGTTCTGTTTTAGTTACTGTTGTCAGTTTGATGTAAATAATTCTTTAAAAGAATACATTCTTTAAGGTAAACATTATTTACTAATTCAAATAACCCGTTCTTTAGCTTGAAGATGACTCCAAGGAGTAAGGTAGTTTCTGTCCAAAGTTCAAAATTTTTCTTAGGAGAATAGATGTAGTGGTTCCTCCAGCCTCAGTAGACCCAGTAAGTTTATAGTCTATAAAAAATTTGAAGTTCTGTTCCACATTGTCCTCCTTTTTGATCAGGACTCACCTATTAAGTCTTTGACCAACACATTCAGTAATGGTTGCTGGGCACCATTCAGTTCTTCTGATCTCATGGAGGCAACTAGACGTGCAGTTCACTTGTTTCCCCAGTTCCTGTGTCTCCTTTCTCTGTTGCTTGAGACAAATAGAGACTATTTTCTCCCAAGCTTTTAAGACCACAGGCGCTACTTACAGAACTGGGGCTTGAGGGTGGGGATAAACAGAAACCTAGTTCATTATTTTGTCTCAGATGTGTGTGTGATTGTATTTGTGATTGCTTATTTGGCACAGTTAGGATTTGCTGTAGCTCTTTTAAAAAATAGAATAGCACATTTGAATATCATTTTATTTCCAGATTGGGAGCAGTTTATGAGAGTGATATTCCTGAATTTCTTAGTTGGCTTTAGTTAAATTCTGGATATACTTGGTTTCTACAGAGATTGATCAGCAAAATACTTTCTGTACTCAGATAATGTTAATTTATGATAAATACTGGCTTTGCTTTTATGTTGACTTTTGCCCTGTAGATTACTTTTTCTGTATCTTACACATATTTTTGTAAAGTTACAGGCAAGGTTTTTGCCCTCACTTCCCTTTCCCTCTTCTCTGTGGTTTTCTTCTTCTTTTCTTTCCGTTTCTTTCTTTTTTTTTTTTTTTTAAATTGTAGCTTAGTTCATTAATTCTGTTTTTAGGTCGGATGATGAGCAGAGTTCTGCGGATAAAGAGAGACTCGCCAGGTAGGAGAACAGTATTTTTTAGCATGATGAAGCAGATAATGCTGCTTTCTATATCCTTTTTCCTACTCTACTGTTTTCTTCCCTCTTTCCCTCGTGTTTGTCCTTATCTGTAGCAAGGGAGGATAAGATCTTTTTTGAAGTTTAGATGTAATGAACTTTGGCTTATCCCGTCAGAAAATGGGTGCATTGTAATTTTTTAAATTTCAGCTTTAAAGCGTCACAGAACAAAAAGCTTTTGGAAACAGTATAGTTGTGCCAGTTTGTATTTCACTTTTTATCAGAAAACCAACAAATATATCTATTGTGTTCATGATTAGTTCTTAGTATTCAAATGTTAAAACTTGCTATCTTTAGAAAACTCACTCTTAGTTTGTTTTGTGGACTGTGTAGACTCACTGACATTACTTTGTTAGAGCAGCACTGTTTTTGCTCTGGCGATTGAATTATCTTGTGATTTCCCAGAAAACTTTTAACAGCCTTTATGTAGCTATTGAGAAAAATCAGTCTTCTGGACTTGAATGTCAGAAATTGTTTAGATATTAGGAAGAGATAGATGCTTTAAGTTCATATGTCTCAATCTGAGTAAGAGACCTGGTGTGGCACTATAGGATATGCAGTGGGCTGCTAACCCCAAGTTTGGCAGTTCAAACCCACTATCCACTCTTTGGGAACTCTGTACAGTCTCGTTGAATCAGAACCAACTCAATGGCACTTAACAACAACAAGGCAAAGTAATTTAGTGCAGACTGATGTAGTGAGACTATACTATTTGTAAAGGAGACCTGAGAGTTGTTTTTGCAGATTGTTATCCATAGTATAAGAAAGACTACAGAAGAAATACTGTGTCCACATTTTCCTGTGTTTTGGATGACTCAGGAAGAGAGATCATTAATGCCAACACTTATTTCAATAATTTTCTCTTAGCTTTTTCTCACTATCTTTCACCTGAGCTATAAGCTCCTCTCATTGCCATTTCAACCCATTTTTCTGACTAATTTTGATTTTCAGAAAAACAGAAATGGCATGATATGATAGGAAGAACATTGAATTTGGAAAACTGATTTAGCCACTTGACTTTAGTTTCTCTAAAAAATGAGTTTTATATTGTCAGTTTTCTTTTTGCCACATAACTTTTGTTAAAATAGAATTCTTATGTAGAAATGGAAGTAAAGAAAAAGATTAAGTAGATATAGAAATATGGCGTGTTTGGTTTTTCTCCTTAAGGCATCCCCATGGAGGAAACTGAGGAACCTACAAGACTTTTCAAAACTCCAGTTTGAAAACTACTAGATGATTACTTCGAATATTGATGTTCTGCCTTACTTCTGAGGAAGTCCCTGTTAGAGATGTGGTTATCTTACCCTGGTTAGATTGAAATTGTCTATTTTAAGACCTTTCTGCATTCAACCCACTCTACTCTTACTTCCCAGTTCACTTTGTTCCAGATTGGAGACCCACAGGGACGCTTCGTAGATAGAATCTTGCAACTGCTTGAAAAACTGAGTACACTGGCACCAGAACCAAATATGTAAAGTGGGCTTTGTGATTCGCTGGGTAACTTCCAGTTTTGCCTTTTAGTTGGGAGTAAGGGAGAAGCCTAGAATGAAGTAACATTAGATTCCATATAGACCAATGAAATTTGTACTATTGAATCTTATACCAACTTCTAGTCAACTTCATTGTTTTGGAAAAACAATTTGTCATTTCATGTTTCTTTAAAACTTTGAATCAGTTAACATGGAGTTGACCAAACTGAGATTATTTGTCTCTCAGGAATTTGAGTGAGTGAAACCAACTTTTTAATATAATACCACCATTCTTAAAACACTTTTTGTTCTGAAACAGTGGTAATTTACATAGGAAGTGAAGTTTCTAGAAACTAAAGGGAATTTCTGGTATCTGCTTGTTTTCTCTCTGCCTGTTGTTTTCTGTTCCATGCTTGCTCTGCATGAGAAAGTTGGCATATTTTATTTTAACATTTGACAGTTAAATACCACTAAATCTAAATACCACATTTCTTAGCAGCTTACTGGTGTCCATGTTGATTTTCCTGCTATCAGATGGCCAGATGTGACCACCTGGATGGGGCTTCTCCTCTCTCTCTTAATACAGGGAGAATCATAGTGAAATTGAACGGCGACGACGAAATAAGATGACTGCTTACATCACAGAACTGTCAGATATGGTACCCACCTGTAGTGCCCTGGCTCGAAAACCTGACAAGCTAACCATCTTGCGCATGGCAGTTTCGCATATGAAGTCCTTGCGGGGAACTGGCAACACATCCACTGATGGCACCTACAAGCCATCTTTCCTCACTGATCAGGTCTCTGGGACCCACAGCTCTGAAGGATTCTAGAATTGGGGTGATGGGTGAATCTCTTACAAGTTGTATTCTTTTTGAGATGGGTAACCATCATCCATACTTCTAAGAATTGCATTATAATGGAGGTCAGGGTAGAACTGAGTTTGTAGACTGTTTTAAGGGCTAGAATTCAGCTTTTTAGAAAAAAGTCAGACCATGGAAAAGTGAGTTTTTCTAAAAACAAACGCTTAGCTCCTTCTGTTTGATTCATAGTTACAGGATTTATTAGCATTGGGGCAGTAATAAGTAGAGAAAATTGATGAAAACTATTTATCAAGTTTCAAGATGAAAACGATTTAGTGTGTTGTGGGTTGTCAAGTTGGTTCCAACTCATAGCCATCCTAAATAGGGTTTCCAAGGCTGTAAATCTATACAGGAGTAGAAAGTCTCATGTTTCTCCCTCACAGTGGCTGGTGGATTTGAACTGTTGACCTTGAATTAGCAACCCAATGTGTAATCCACTGGTATTTTAAAAATTGGTTCCTGGGTACAGTAAAGAAACAGTAGAATCACAGGGATAGGAATCATTTGATGACAGCTTTGATTTTCTTCCATGTCATCATTGAATTTTTACTGAGTAACTGCTAAGTCTATGGAACTAGTCTTCTTGTTAGTCTGTAAGGATATAGAGAATGGACATTGCACTGTTCTACCCAGCTTTCCATTTTAGTGATGAAACGTATCTTGACAAGCAGTTGTTATGCTCAAGACATGATCTGTTATATTTGATGCACTGTGAGAATTATTGAGAAGGCAAAAACGGTTTTTTGCCTTCCAGGAACTTGCTCTGATTATAATATGTAAGTAGCAGGATAAACATGTACATGAAAGATGAATACAGAGAAGAAATTTTTTTTTAAGTATTAATAATTTATTAGGTAATTATGTATTAGAGGGATAGCTAAAGAAAATTGAGTGACCAAACCAGATAAAGATAGTAAGGGAAGATTTCTAGGAGTAAAGACATCATGTTCTATTTTGATTATTAAAAATAGTGCATGCTCATTGCAGAAAAATTTGGAAAATACAAGAATATAAGGAAGAAAAAATTACCTATAATCTCCCCATTCTAATCTAAGGATTCAAAGGAAGGAAATAATATGGTTTAGGAAGAAGGAATAAGAATAATTTCCCAAGTAGTATGATTTATGAAAGCGTAGATTTTGTAACTATGTACAAAGAAATAGTCAACTTGTTCCAAATTACACATGGCGATATTGATTTAAAAACTAGAGTTTAAACACCTTCTCTAGTCAAAGCAGGTGCTATGTGCCCTGAGGAATATAAAGAATGATAAGGGTCTGTTGGATTACAGGCATGTTGATAAATAATAATACAAGCACAAGAACTTTTATAATATACATGCACTATAAGGTCTGTCAGGAGCTCTGGTAGCGAAGTGGTTACAAATCGGACTGCAAACCTTAAGGTCAGTGGTTCAAAACTACCAGTTGCTCTGCGGGAGAAAGATGAGGCTTTCTACTCCCATAAAGATTTACACCCTCGGAAACCCTGTACAGGGTCACTATGGGTCGGAACCGACTCGACGGCACTTAACAACAACAACAACATAAGGTCTGTAGAAGTACAGATATGGAAAAACCAGGATTTGGAGAATAGTGTAGATTTTGGCAATTGCAAATGCAAAAACATAGAGGTATGAGAGTGACTGAAGAAAAGGCCAGTAGTTTAGTATGGTTTGAGAAATAATAATAAAAAGTAGGCTGGGATCTGATGATGGAATGTCTAGGTGCTCTATTAAAGAATTTAGATTTTAATTTATAGTTAGTGGGCGTTATCAAAAATATGTCTTTTAAAGATGGATTAGAGAGAGTAAAAGCAATTCATTAGTCTTGGTGTAAAATGACTAGGACAGTGACATTGTATTGGTAAGTAAAATTGGTAGAACTGAAGCATCTGCATATTTTGAGCAAAGGCTGTTAGATTTTGAGATTTTTAGCCTGGGAGAAAGATGTTGCTATTCACTCAGAAAGAGAATAATAGAAGAACACAGAGAATTATTATTTAGAGGGGGCAGTAATGAGTGAGGTTTGAAGATACTGCAATTGAGTTCCTGATAGAATATCGATCTGAATGTTTAATAGATATTTGAAATTTTGATCTGCCAAAAACTTGAGGGGAAAAATAATAAGCAAGTCTAGCAATGTACTTATGTATCATTTCATAGAGGGTAGAAGTAGAAGTGAGATCTGGTATGAATAGAGAAGACCTAAGATAAAACCTTGGGAAATGTCTGCATTTAAAATTTCAACAAAGGTAAAGGAGCTGGGTGCAGAGAAGGAACATGTGAAAAAGAAGAAAAAATTGTGGAATGCCGTGTCATGAAAGCAAGGGGAAGATAAAATCTAAGCAGTAGAATGGACAACATTGTGTTTAAACAAAATGATCGTGGCCCACGAAAAGGAACTTGAGTGGGCAAGTAGGGATGTCATTATAACCTCCTAAAAACAGTAAGACAGTATTTTAGATTGAATATTACAGTGGGATTGAGAAATAAATGGAAGGTGAGAAGGCTAAAGACAGTGAATATAATATTGCTCTTAGTATAAGCTTAGTACTGAAGAAGAAAGAAGAATTGGGTAAAATTGAGGAAAGATTTATATAGAATTGAGGAAACTTGATTATGTTTATAGGCTTCAGAGGAAAGAAAGAGAAATATTTGTAGACCAAGATCCTAAAAAGAGACCAAAGAGGAAACTCAAATAATTGTTAGTGGTAAGCATTTGTATTCTGTATTTTTAAGTCCTGAAATGAAAAGGAGATGGATAGTAACAGAGAAATTGAGGCAATAGCTATTGGGAGAAAGGACTGTCTTGTCAGTTAAAGTAATTGCAGTTAGGGGGTAAGGCTGTGGCTGTGGATCAGGTACGGCCTGAAAAATCCTAATTATTCCATAAATAGAAACACGTGGTTTTCCAAAGTTCATTAATTTTTATTTTTATTTCTTGGGCAGGAACTAAAACATTTGATATTGGAGGCAGCAGATGGCTTTCTGTTTATTGTCTCATGTGAGACAGGCCGAGTGGTATATGTCTCTGATTCCGTGACCCCTGTTTTGAACCAGCCACAGTCTGAATGGTTTGGCAGCACACTTTATGATCAGGTGCACCCAGATGATGTGGACAAACTTCGGGAACAGCTTTCCACTTCTGAAAATGCCCTGACAGGTGAGCTGGTCAGTGGATGAGAAGTCTTTTATTTTCCTGAAACAGAAGGGGCATTTTATCTCCTAAATTAGTTTGGTGAATCTGGTAAGGCTTTTAGAATTTTCTCCCATTATGAATATAATAATTCTTTTTATCCACCTACAGGTTATCTATTTTGTGGCTCATCCTTACAAAATGTTATATAATAATGATAGTGTGTGCATAAATGCTTACATTTTTAAGTATTAGTGTAGATGAAACAGTAAAAAGTCAGAACTTCAGTAATATATTTTTTAAGCATTCTAAAAGAATTCTATATGCTTCCATCTCATTTGTAGGGAATTATCTGGTAATTTTTATACCCACTTGTGTTTGGCTTTGTGTTAGATTGTATAATAGCAGGTTTTTATTTTAGAAGAGGTGATTTTTAGTCACTGTTAGAAGTTTGTTTTTTGCATCTATTGTCTTTTTCTGGCTTGTTCTTTTCCTTTTTTTCTTTCAATTTTAATGCTGTACAGCCCTTTTGCCAGAATTTAGCTAGAGGAAACAAGTCACATCTGTTACTAAGCAACTCTGGAGAAAAGTTTAAAGTGGAAGCAGATTAACATTGATAGTTAAAGTGAAGTCCAGAAATTCCAATATGGTCATGTAAATGTTGAGTTTTTCCTCTTTTATGTTTTTATTGATTGCATTTTTCTGGTTCTTCCTTTTCCCAAAAGTTGTCCTTGGTTTCCATGTAATAAAGGGGAGGAACAGAGTTGGCTTGCGATAGATGTGTTTCTATAGCATATAATTGTTTTTAAACCAGTGACATTCATTCTGTGTGTGTGTATAAAAATAATCAGACACAAGACTATAAGCGTTTGCTCTGGCTTTCCAGCAGTAGTTCCCACCACTGTTTTCTTTCATATGCTATTTTCAGTATTGTCTTTGAACTTAAGAGTGGAATTTATGCATGAGAATTATATTTTAGGTTTGGAAAAAAGATCCATCCCCTACTTGAATAATTCTGTTACATTCAAGAAAGTTATAGCGCATAAATAGGATGCTTACTTCTTTTTGTCTCCAGTGTTCCTACCCCCTGCTCCCCCAAGCACTCTCCACCCCCCCACCCCCCGCCCACACACAAAAGCATACACTCCAGACTACTCTTAACTTCCTTCATCAGGGCGTATCCTGGATCTGAAGACTGGAACAGTGAAAAAGGAAGGTCAACAGTCTTCCATGAGGATGTGTATGGGCTCAAGGAGATCATTTATTTGCCGTATGAGGTAAGTGTCAGCCTGAGGATTGTGACATAGGAAGATCCAAGAACTGCTGAGGTTTGATTCCAGATCAGAGCAGTTACAATTTTAAATCCAATTTCCAGATGAATTTAACACTTAAGGCCCATATGGACCTGTGACACAGATAAAGTATTTGGTAAAGGAACTAACATTTACTGAACCCTTTGTAGGCCAGGCCCTGTGATAGGTGCTATGTGTCTGTCATTTCATCCCCACAACTGCCCTATAGGGTAGAATTTGTGGTTATTGTTTTGCTAGTGAAAAAGCAGACTAACAGAAATGAACTCCCTAAAATTACATAGATAGTGTCTGATACAGGATTTTATTTTAATCCATATTTGTCTGACTTCAAAACCTATGTTTTTTTCCTATTATAAGGCAACATCCATGTACTCAGACTATTTCTGTATTTTTATTGTTACTGTTGTTAGAAATTTGAGGCTTCATCTGTCTTTCAGTCAGTGTTTGTTTATCAAATTCATGCTGAATGTTTTAGGAGTCTGATAAAAGGATGTTGTAGGAAGAAAAAAACATATCTAAAAGTTACAAAATAAATGCAGGTTGTATATGTAATGGAAATGAGTTTGATTTTTTGTTTGATGTTAATTGAAGCATTGCATTTTTAAAGCATGTAGGACATTTTGACTTTAAGTCAAATAAGTCTTTTAAGACATTTATACATTTTTAAAATACCAAACCTGATTTAACTTTATCCTTCATATTTCAGGAGCATTTTCTGGGTCTAATGGATTAGGTGTTAGGCTGATAATTGCATGGTTGGCAGTTCAGACTCACCAGCTGCTCCACGCGAGAAAAATGAGGCTTTTTGCTCCCATAAAGCTTTACTGTCTCAGAAATCCTATTACAGGGTCATTATGAGTCGGAATCGACTCAGTGGCAGTGAGTCTTTTTGTTTGTTGGAGTTGTATCCAGTATATGTTTTCTGGCTGCTACTACTGAAAAGTTCTTTGATCAGGCAGCCTAACAGTTTTTGATCTATTTTTTCATTGAAACAGGTGCGGCAATAGCTCTGTGGACCCAGTCTCCATGAATAGACTGAGCTTTGTGAGAAACAGATGCAGGTGAGGTCTTAAGCAAGGAAAGCCAAAGGAATGGTCAAGGACCTGTAGAGATCATCACATATTTCCACTGATGCCCCTGTAGTCCTTCCTTCAGCAGTCCTCACCCTTACCCTTCACTTTTGAGCTTCTAAAACTTCTCTTGTTGATATATTTAAGAAAGTTGCTCTTCATGTTACTTTTCTTCATCTGTCAAATTTTCAGTTGCCTTACTTTGGCAAGGTTCAAATATATAGTGGTCAGTTTCATATGGGAAGGTCCAAGCACTGGTTATCCTGTCTTTTAAATACTCTAATGCCTAAAGTTAAAGATACTAAACTATCTTTATCCTTTAAAAGGGTTTTCTTCTGACATCTTTGATTCTTCTAGGAATGGACTTGGCTCTGTGAAGGATGGAGAACCTCACTTTGTGGTGGTCCACTGCACAGGCTACATCAAGGCCTGGCCTCCAGCAGGTAGGAAATTTGGATGGTATTTTTTCTCCTCAAATGAACTCCCTAAAATTACATAGATAGTATCTGATACAGGATTTCATTTTAATCCATATTTGTCTGATTTCAAAGTTCATTTCTCTTCTCCAAGAGGCCAAGAAAATTAGCTAGCATTTATTATTTACTTAGCATATGAAATGTGTTTTGATATAAGCTCTAGGAAAGTAGAAAAACAAATTCTTACTTTCCCTTACAGAGTTTATTTTCCAGTTAATGTGATGGATTACTCAAACATGAAATGACTTAATAATGGTTGCATCATAGAATAAATTTTTAAATGTACAGATTCATAATTATGTACACCAGTTGCATATTTGTAGAGCATTTATGTGCAAAGCCACAGTTGATGTTGACTGCATCTAATTTTGGAAACAATAAGTATTGGACTGCAAACCACAAGATCTGCAGTTTGAGCCTGCCAGGTGCTCCATGAATGAAAGATGAGACCTTTAGCTCATCTTTCAGCTCAGCTCTGCAGGGTCACTGGGAGTCAGAACCAACTCGACAGCACTTAACAGCAGCAATAAAAATTTGGGAAAGCTTTTTATAGCTGCAAAACTTGAAGGAAGAAAGAGAAAATGACTTGACTGGATAACTTATAAAGGGGATAGTCCCTGCAAAGGCTTTAAATTGGGATGTGAATATCTTTTCAGTGTCTTGTACAGGATAGTTTTAAATCAGACAGGGACTATGAGAAAGGCAGTTGGAGTATACGGATTAGATTTTTAAACTGCTTTGTCAGTTTTCAAATTTTAGATGCTTAATTACTTCCTTTGTGAATGTATAACTAGGAAGTTAGGGTAGTGGGGAGACAGTTACAAGCCAAGAAAAAGAGAGATCAGAAGGTGTATTTTGGATTCAGGTTTGGAAAAACCTGAATTTGATTTCTGACATTTTTGTATATTAGTGATACAACCTAGGGTTAATTTTTTGCCCTTTTTAAACCTCAGTTTTCTCATGTATAATTTGAAGATAATATGAGAGCTAAGTAAAAAAAAAATATTACTAGGGCTCCAGTCCATAATATACAGATTTATTCAAAACAAAACAATGTTTAAACATGTCTCTGTAATCAGTGGATGGCTAAAGACAAATTCTTTCAGTAATATACCTATAGTCTCATTTTGTTGTTGTTGTTAAGTGCCGTCGAGTCGATTCCGACCCATAGCGACCCTGTACAGGGTTTCTGAGGCTGTAAATCTTTATGGGAGCAGAACGCCTCATCTTTCTCCCACGGAACAGCTGGTAGTTTCGAACTGCTGACCTTGCAGTTCGCAGGCTGATTTGTAACCACTACGCTACCAGTCTCATTAGGGTGCCTTTAAAAAAAAAAATCTAATTAAAACAGTTGCTTTGGTAGCAAGGTCAGCTCAGAAGATTATGGTGAATGTATTTTTGGGAGTCCTGGTGTGGTGCTGTGGACAAATGCACTGGACTGCAAAGGTGGTTTGAACCTCAAGCTCGGTGGTTCAAGCTTACGAGCTATTCCTCGGAATCCATGTGCAGGGTTGCTATGGGTCAGAACTGACTCTATGGCACTTAATAACAGCAACAACAAATAAAGCGTTATGAGCAAGCACAGTGGCCCCATAAGATAAGGACTGGACTGCAAACCGCAAGGTTGGCAGTTCGAGCCCACCAGTCAGTCGCTCTGTGGGAGAAAGATTCTGTTCCTGCAAAGATTTAAACAGTCTCGAAAACCCTATACAGGGTTGCTGTGAGTTAGAACAATTCGACAGTACTTAACAACGAAGAGCTTATATTGATATTTCCTCTAAGGACATAGTATCACAGGGGCTAATTATTAGGAAGAAATTTGAAAACTGCATTGGTGAGAAAAAGGCTAGGAAACTTGCACCGAGAATTAATTTTTCCATCACAGCAATATACACATGATCATTCTTTGAGAGTAGCAAGAGCTGTCTTAGAATTGTATTGGGAACCTTACTCCACCTACCCTATAGCCCTGATCTTGTCCTTCATACTTCTTTTGGTTCCCAAAAATCAAAGAACATTTAAAAGGAATATGATTAGAGTCCCTCTAGGATGCTGAAGGAACATGATTAGAAGAGTTCCTCTAGGCAGTTCAAGCTCATTAGCTACTCCTCGGAAACCCAAGAAGACAGATTATATAACCCCTCAGGGTTGTTATGAGTCTCGACTGCACTTAGCAAAAACAAAAGGATGCCAAAGCTGGCTGTTTTGACATCATGTAAATCAAAGAGCACAGAATTCTTTGTGGAAATTAATATTAGAGAGATGGCAATGCCACCTTCAGAAGTATATAGCCCAAATGGAGAATATGTCAAGAAATAATAGCTTCCCAAACTGGTTTCACATTGTGATATTTTTGTTGTATAATTTTCTAGCAGTACTGTTTTGCTTGCCTTCTTACATCCCATAGAGAGTTATTATTATGATTAAATTTAATGTAAGAAATGCCCTCAGCTGAGTGTCTGACATATGATAGGCACCTTAATAGATGATGGTGTTGTTAGATGTCATCAAGTTGGTACCAACTCAAAGCAAATCCATGCACAACAGAATGAAGCACTGCTTGGTCCTGCACCAACCTCACAATCATAGATATGCTTGAGCCCATTGCGGCTGCCACTGTTGCCAATCTATCTCATTGGGGAGCTTCCACTTTTTTGCTAATACTCCATTTTTCTAAGCATGATGTCCTTCTGGTAATATGTCTGAAGTTTAACAGATGAAATCTGGTCATCCTGACTTCTAAGGATCATTCTGGCTATACTTCTTTCAACACAGATTTGTTTGTTCTTTTGGCAGTCCATGGTACTTTTAATATTCTCCTCCAGCACCATAATTCAGTGTACCAATTCTATGATCTTCCTTATTCACTGTCCAACTTTCACATGCGTAAGAGCTTATTGAAAATATCATGGCTTGGGTCAAGTGCATCTTAGTCCTCAAACTGACAGCTCTGTTCTTGAATACTTTAAAGAAGTCTTGTGCAGATTTGCCTAATGCCATATGTCATTTGATTTTTTTAACTGCTGCTTCCATGAGTGTTGGTGGTTGATCTGAGCAAAATGAATTCTTTGACAACTTCAATCTTTTCTCTATTTATATGGATATTGTTTATTGGTCTAGTGGTGACAATTTTTGTTTTCTTTACATTGAGGTTGCAACCTATATGGAATAATCTGTGGTCTTTGGTCTTCATCAGTAAGTGTCTTTTCACTTTCAGCAAGAAGAGTTGTATCATCTGTATATTGCAGGTTGTTAATGAATTCTGATGCTACATTCTTCTTTATATAATCTGTCTTCTTGGGTTATGTGCTTAGAATACAGGTTGAATAAGTATGGTAAATGGTAAAGTACACAACCCTGGTGTACAGCTTTCCTAATTTTAAACCATTCGATGTTCCCTTGTTCTGTTCAAATGACTGCCTATTGGTCTTGGTCAACTATGTAGTTTCCTCATGAGCACAATTCAGTGTTTGGAATATTCATTCTCTGCAATTTTGTCCATAGCCTGTCATGATCCACACAATTGGAAGCTTTTGCAAAGCCAGTAAAACATAGGTAAACATCTTTCTGGTATTCTCTGCTTTCAGCCAAGATCCATCTGATGTCAGCAGTGATAACCCTTGTTCCACATCATTGTCTGAATCTGACTTGAACCTATGGAAGTTCTGTCAATGTACTGTTGTATCCACTTTTGAATTCGAATTTTACTTGTATGCCTTATTAATGATAATGTCTGATGATTTCAGCATTCTGCTGGGTTACCTCTCTTTGGAATGGGATCAAATATGGATCTCTTTCAATCAGTTGTCCTGGTAGCTGTTTTCCAAATTTCTTGGCATAGATGACAGAGTGCCTCCAGTGCTACATGTTTATTGAAAGATTTCAATTTGTATTCCATTAATTCCCTGACCTTTGTTCTTTGCCAATGTCTTCAGTGCACCTTGGACTTCTTTTTTGTGTCATTGGCTCTTGATCATATGCTTCCTCTTGAAATGGTTGTGCATTGTCCATTTCTTTTTGGCATAGTGACTCATGTATTCCCTCTATCTTCTTTTGATGCTCTCTGTACCAGTCAATATTTTGCCCATAGAATCCTTCAATATTGCAAGTAGAGGCTTGAATTTTTTCTTCAGTTCTTTCAGCTTGAGAAATGCTGAGTGAGCGTATTCTTCCCTTTTGGTTTTTTAACTTCAGATCTTTGCACATTTCTTTATAATATTTGCTTTTGTCTTCTCAAGCTGATCTTTGAAATTTTCTGTTCAGCTCTTGGACCTCCTCATTTCTTCCATTTGCTTTAGCATCTCTACACTGGATAGCAAGTTTCAGAGTTTCTTCTGGCATCCATTTTGATCTTTTGCTTCTTTCTTGTCTTCTTAATGACCTTTTGTTTTCTTCCTGTAGGATGTTCTTAATGTCATCCCACAACTCTGCTGGTCTTAGGTCTTTAGTGTCTAATGCATCAAATCTGTTCTTCAGATAACCTCTTAATTCAGGTGGGATATGTTCAAGGTCATTTTGGCGCTCATGGATTTATTTTAATTTTCTTTGGCTTCTGCTTGAACTTGTATATGAGTAAGTGATGATCTGTTCCACTGTCTGCCCCTGACCTTGTTTTGGGTGATGATATGGAGCTTTTCCTCATCTTTTTCCACATATATAGTCAGTTTGATTTCTGTGTATTCCATATGGTGGGGCCCATGTGTATAGTCGTTTTTTATATTGTTTAAAAAACGCATTTGCAATGAAGAAATTATTGGTCTTGTAAAATTCTTTCATGCAATCTCCAGCATTGTTTCTATCGCCAAGGCCATATTTTCCAACTGCTGATTGATCCTCTTTGTTTCCAACGTCTGCATTCTAAGTGGCAGTAAATACATCTTGATTTCATGTATGATCAATTTCGGAGTAAAGAAGTTGGTAGAATTCTTCTATTTCATCCTCACTGGCTATAGTGGTTAGTGTGTACATTTGAATAATAATTGTATTAATTGGTCTTCCATGTAGGTGTACAGATATTATCGTATCACAGACTGCGTTGTACTTCAAGACAGAACTCAATATGTTCTTTTTGATGGAAGAGTATGACGCCATTCCTCATCAATTTTTCATTCCCAGCTTAGTAAACCATATTATTGTCTGATCCAGAATGGCCAATACCAGCCCATTTCATCTCTCTAATGCCTAGGATATTGATGTTTATATGCTCCATTTCATTTTTGACAGTTTCCAATTTTCTTAGATTCATATTTCGTACATTCCATGTTGCTGTATTTCCTCATCTTGAGTTATGCCCCATCAGCAAATGAAGGTCTTGAAAGCTTTGTTCCATTTGTGTCATCACAATCAACTCTACTTTCAGGTGGCAGCTCTTTCCCAATGATATTTTCAGTGCATTCCAACCTGAGAGGGGCTCATCTTCCGGCATTGTATCTAACTATATTCTGGTGCTCTTCATCATGTTTCAGTATTCAGTATTCTGATGCTGACAGTTTCCCGCTTCTATTCATAAGGTTTTCAGTGACTAAATATTACGAAGTAGTCCGTCTCTCCTTTCTAGTCTCTCTTAGTCTGGAAGTTCAGTTGAAACCTGCCTACCATAGGTGACCCTGCTGGTATTTAAAATGTTGATGGCATAACTTCCAAAATCACGGTAACATGCAGGCAACCATGGTACCACAAAATGATGTACAAGTGGTGGTTAATAAATGGTTGTTGTTGTTGTTGTCAGGTGCCATCGAGTCGGAACCGACTCATAGCGACCCCATGCACAGCAGAACGAAACAATGCTCGATCCTGG